CACTTACCTGCCTCAGGAGCGGAGACGGTTCACCAGGACCGGCCCGGCTGATGGAAGTGTCGTGAATGTATGTGTGTTTGTATGAATGTGTGTGTGTGTACGTGGCCTGGTCTAGATGACATAATGCTGTCCTGGAGAAGGTATCCGCTGGTAGCCTCGGAACTATTCCCCTCTTGAGGCACTCTTTCTGTTTTGTCACGTAATGGTACAGCCAAACGTAGAACTTCAGAGGAAAATCACTATCGGAGTTGCACAATTAATTTAACAGAAGTTAATAAGTCCTAAAGAACAATACGTGTTCTCGCAACGATTTACGCGGGTTGATACTTTCATAACAAAATTAGGCGCGAAACCCAGACGTCAGTATAGATCGCAAAAAACTTTACAATGCCCGTCGAGAAATCTGGCCGATACCGCTGTGAAATGCGGCCGGGTGGGGGGCGGGTGACCTTGCTGTCGATGCTACGAACGCACGTTAAAGAATTACGTTTCAAAGGTATAATATTATTGCCTAAACAAACCCCCGCCCCGGACATAAGGCATTATGTCCGCGAGTAGATTGGCAAACGGGACAAGGTCGCGACGGCACGTTGCAAGACCGAATCTCCGACCAAAACCTCGGCCACTCTGGGCACCCCATCCGCTCCATGCGACAACTTAGCAATGCGCCCACGGCGCCAATAGAAAGGTAGAGCGTTGGGTTCTTTAACCAACACGAGGTCTCCCACCCAAGGAGGCGCCGTCTTGTCAGACCACTTAATGCTGCAAAAGATGTAGGTACTCCAGAGACCATCGGTGCCAAAAGCTCTGAGTCATCTGTTGCAGCAGGGCAAACCTGCTAAGCCGCGAAGCGCTCGTTGCCCTGAAGGGGTACTCGGGCAGAGCGTTAAGCGGCTGGCCAATCAGGAAGTGTCCCGGGCTTAGAACCTCCAAATCATTCGGGTCGGATGAGAGGGGACAAAGGGGCCGAGAGTTGAGTACAGCCTCAATTTTACAAAATACAGTGGCGAGCTCCTCAAATGTCAAAATAGTTTCACCAATAACGCGACGGAGATGCGTTTTTGCCACTTTAACCACTGCCTCGAAAATACCGCCCCAGTTTGGACACGCCGGAGGGTCGAATTTCCACTGGATGCCCCTTTTTGACATAGCATTGCCTAAATAAGTCCGGTGGCTAGACAGAAACTCGACGACCTCCTTTAGATACCTATCCGTGCCCTTATAATTCGTTCCGCAATCCGACCGGATCAAGTCCGGCAAACCGCGCCGCGATATGAAACGGCCAAGCGTGGCCAAGAAGGCTTCCGTGCTGAGGGCGCTTACAAGTTCCAAGTGAACGGCTTTAGTGGAGAGGCACACGAAGACGCAAAGATAGGCCTTATGCGCGTTACGAAGGTTAGAGGACTTGACGAGGAAGGGGCCAGCAAACTCGGTTCCGACTCCAGCGAATGGTCGGATGGCCCTGACGCGGTCGGGCGGCAAGTCACCCATGAGGGGCTGTGATATGGTGGCCTTCAGTTTATAACAGGATATGCACTTAAAGATGACGCTCCGAATGGTACGTCAGCCAGCCAAAATCCAAAACTCCCGCTGCTAAATAGCCGAAAGAGCGTTGCACCCAGCGTGGGCACTCTTAACATGGTGGTGGGCTACCAGCAACCGGACCAGGGCGCCGTCCTTAGGGAGCAGCAACGGGTGTCGAGCCCCGTACGGCAGTTGAGAATTTTTCAAACGTCCGCCAACGCGCAGCATCCCCGCGGCCCGGGGGCCAGAATGACTGAGATCCAGATAACCAACCGGGACCCCACCACAGTGGGTGGTCAACCAGCGATGGGGCCTCACAGCCGCGAGAAGCGCAGTCTGCGGGATTCAACTCCCCTGGGACATGTCTCCAGTTGAGAGAAGTCTCAGAACTCTGGATTTGAGACACGTGGTTCGCCACAAAGACCTCAAGATTGTGAGGTGCAGCTCGGAGCCAACAAAGTACTATCTCACTGTCCGACCATGCGTAGATGCCCGTAATGTCGATTACAGGCTTCAAGGAAGAGTGAACGTGGTTGAGGAGTCGCGTGAGGAGAGCGGCACCGGACAGTTCCAATTTAGGGATAGTTACGCGGGATCTAATGGGAGCAATCTTGCTTTTAGCGAGTACGAGATGGACGGCAGTATGACCAGAGGAACTCACTGTCCGCAAATATACGACAGCAGCATAGCCCTTCTCAGAGGCGTCGCAAAACCCATGTAGGGTAGCCCGGCATTTCCCTGGGGGAAGGAAGCACCTTGGCATAAAAACCCGGTTGATGTCCGGAAGGGAGGAGAGCATGGAGAGCCACTCTCGCAAGAGGACTCCGCTAAAAGGCTCGTCCCGACCCAACCCGGACATCCAGAGCTTTCGAAGAAAGCACTTAGCTAAAAAGATGACCGGGGTGATCCACCCATTAAGGTCGAAGGTGCGGGCTACGGTGGACAGCACGGAGCTTTTGGCCCATGCTTTGGGCGGTGGGTCAAGTTTTACTCTATACGTGAAGGTGTCCTGAACAGGCTGATATTGAATGCCCAGCACAGTCAACAAATCAGGATTTTCAGGGTGCACGAACAGATGAGGGTCTTGTTGATCCTCTCCTGGGAGGTCCTTCAAAATATGAGGGGAGTTCGACAACCACTTGCGCAACTCATAGCCTCCGGACTTCAGGATGGCAATTAATTCGTCTCGCAAGACCAGAGCCTCCTCGACGGTGGAAGCGCCCATACAAATGTCGTCCATGTAGACCGAAGTCTCCAAAATAGAAGCTCCCCGAGCGTATCTCAGGCGCTCTCTCTCAGCGAGTTCCAGGAGGGTTCGCATGGCGATATACGGGCTGGACCGGAGTCCGTATGTGGTGGCGTTCAACTCAAACACCTGTATAGGATCGCTGGGCTTCTCGCGCCACTTTATCAGCTGATATCGATGGTCATCACGATGGACCACTGATTGGCGAAACATCATCCGAATGTCCGCTACAAAAACCACTTGGTGTCGACGGAATTGGGTCAAGATGTCGGATATGTCCTTGATCAGTTTAGGACCCAAGTGAATACACTGGTTCAGAGACACACCATTTGATGTGGGGGCGGAACCGTCAAAAACTACCCGAATCTTACTCTCAGGGGTCCTCAAGACCGCATGGTGAGGGAGGAAGTAGTGTTCCTGTGAACGCCATTCGAAGTTGGACGGTGACATGTGACCCAGCTCTTGATACTCGCGCATGAACTCGACATATTTGTCGCGAAAGGCTGGGTCGCGCCGCATGCGCCGCTCCATGGAAAGCAACCTCTTCTCGGCTAGAGCACGAGATTGATCCAAAGAGGGACGTGAGTCCAGAAAGTGTAAGCGAGTGACGAAACGACCGTCAACCCGCCGGCCGGTATTGTTCTGGCAGAACAACTCACACTCACGGTCCAGAGGGTCGACTCGAGCTGCATGTGGTGGTTCCTCGATTTCCCAGAACCGCTGGACGGCGTCCGATAGGGACACGCCCACGACGGAGAGCGGGTCGGCCGTCGGAGGGGGAGGAGACCACATAACCGGTCCAAAGAAGCTGTGCCCAAATATCGTGGAAATGGCTGACAGACCATCGGGCTGTAGAGCTCGTATCTCACCTAACAAGAGGACCCCCAACGTGTCGGCCCCCAGTAACAAATCTATAGGCCCAGGTTGGGCCCACCGAGGGTCTGCCGGTCTCAAAGCCGACGCGCAGCGAACCGCGCTGTCATTTATACTTTAGGAGCTGACTCCATATGCGTCTCTACGGGTGACCATAATGAAAGATTGCATAACTTTATGACATATTTATTGTAGAGGAGCGTGTAATACAGTTGACGGGCAACTAGCTACTGTCTGACTGAATGAAAATCTTAGTACTAAGTAGAGAGGTACAATATTATTAAGTATACATATATATGGTAGCTAGGTACAACATTACTAATTATACATGTGTGTGCGCAGCACACCTACATTACTTCCCCCTTTACAAAAAGAATACAAAAACTTAAAACTATATAAACACTTGTTAATGCGCTGAAGCGCAGGGCTGGACGGAGATCCCCGCGAAGGGAGCGGCTGCCGCGGCAGGCGCGGGCACGTGCTGCAGACTGGTGCTAGAGGCGCCTATCATCTGACCCATATTCTGGCCCGACATTGGAACGCTGGCCATGAACACTTGATGGCGAAGCCAGTTTTTGAACTTCTTATTAAACTTCATCCAAATAGTATACAATATTATTGCTCCCATAAAACTGGCTATCACATATAACCATATTTGAAAATTATCCACTTTATTCTCTACAGTATTCTGAGCCTGAGAAACAATAACTGGTTTTTCTTGATAATTACCCATAGTAAAAATCGTAAAACCTTTAGCACTAATGCTTCTGCAAAGGAAATATTTCAAATGAAACGAAATACATTATAACTAAACTATCTACCTAAACATAAATGAAACTGCAGTATACGCAAAATACAAAACACAATACATCTAAAATTTCATTCAATTTGTATTTGTAATGTAACTTGAATATTCTGAATGAAAATATTCTGCACCTAACGATGCAAATAATACTTTCACATCCATACTAGCTAACCTGAATATCATTTAAACATTTAATTATATTTCATATATAATACATTTTATGTTATCACTAACTTATATTAAATCGTGAAGGTAACTTAACAATGCGACCACTCCGCGTTGTTTTCACGCTTATCGGGTTGCTAGGGCCGGGCGACGACGATGTCACCGGCGTGGGCGGCGGTAACGCGAACCGTACATGCGCAGGCACCACATCCGCTGCGTTGTCAGCGTTACTGCTGCTTGGCGTTATTATGTTACCATCGCATTCCTTTAACACATATGCAGGCTTTAATCTGTCAATAGAAATATGTACCTGCCTATCGGGTAATTGAATTAGGTAAACTTTTGAAGCCCTTTTTATCACGCGATATGGACCGTCGTAGGGTGGTTTCAAAGGTTTACGTATTGAATCGTCCCGAACAAAGACATATTCACAGTTACGTAAGTCTTTGTGCACAAAAAACTTTGACAGTTACGTGAATTGTCGGATGTAGGCTTATAACTACGAATAGTATCTCTAATCTTATCTACTAAACAATAATCGTTGACATTACAGTTGTTCGAAGAGTTGTCATAAATGTCTCCTGGTAGACGTAAGTTTCGTCCGAAAGTTAATTCGGCGGCGCTAACCCCTGAGTCGCTGCGGCCGGCCGCGCGAAGCCCCAGTAATACCGTGGGTAGCTCTTCCACCCAAGATCCATGTGACAGGCGAGTCGAAAGTGCTGTCTTTAAAGAACGATGCCAACGTTCGACTGCGCCATTGCTTTGCGGGTGATAAGGAGTAGTTCGAATTCTATTAACCCCCAACATTTTTAACAGCTGGTTAAAAAGACTACTCTCAAACTGGCGATCTTGGTCGCTAGTTAACTTCATCGGGCAACCGTAACGACAAATTCAACCCTCATATAAATGTTTGGCAACAGTTTCTGCCGTAATGTCGCGTAACGGAAATGCTTCGGCCCACCTAGTTCTCCTATCAATTATCGTGAGTAAGTATCTATAACCATCTGGTGAAATCTCGAGAGGGCCAACGATATCGATGTGCACATGCTCAAAACGATCTACTCCCGAAAACTTAGTCAATTTCGATACCGTATGTCTGTTAACTTTAGAACGTTGACATAGTATGCACGTTTTTGCCCATAAAGAAACATCACGATTCATACTCGGCCAGAAATACCTTTTAGCTAACATCTTTCGTGTAGACCGAATTCCAGGATGGCTCAAATTATGCAAACTATCAAAAGCTAGGCGTCGAAACTTTTCCGGTAGGTACGGACGAGCTATATTGGTAGACATTTCACAAAAAATAGGCTTGTTTAACATAGGTATAACTAGTTCTTTCAACAAAATATTATCGGTATTTAAACCAGACATAAAATTCGTAATATAACTATCGCTACGCTGTTCATTTGCAATGTCATCGAAATTCAACACAGTTGGCATAATCACGGCTTCGACGCGTGATAAGGTGTCGGCTACAATGTTATTCTTACCGGTTATATGTTTTATATTTGTAGTGAACTCGCTTATGAAAGCTAAATGTCTCGTTCTCCGAGGCGTTTCGCTTTCATCGCGTCCTACCTTTTGAAATGCAAAAGTTAAAGGTTTATGGTCCGTATACACGGTTATTTCTTGACCTTCAAATAATTTCCGAAAATGTTTTATAGCCAAGTATATAGCGAGCAACTCGCTATATACTTAGCTATATCGCTGTTGGGTGGTGGTCAATTTTTTTGAGAAATAACCCAATGGTTTCCAGATATCTCCTTCCTTTTGTTGCAAGACTGCTCCCACGCATGTATTAGATGCGTCAGTCATTATAGCAAGTGCGGAATCCACTCTAGGGTACGTCAATGTAGCGGCCTGTGTGAGACCTGCCTTACACTGCGTAAATGCTTCGTTCGCACTATCATTCCAGACGATAAGAGTTTTATCATTTTTCTTTGAGCTTTTAAGATATTTATTTAATTCTGTTATATATAAAGTAGCATTGGGGAGATGAGATCGATAAAAATTAACCATGCCGAGAAAACGTCTTAGCTCTAAAATAGTTTTCGGCTTCGGAAATTCGACAATTGCCTGAACCTTATCTTGCAACGGCCTGACACCTTCAGTACTAATTTCGTGTCCCAAAAATTCTAGTTTTATTTATCCGAAACAACATTTTGCCAAATTAATTGAAATTCCATATTCATTAAACTTTTTAAAAATTATTTCTAAATGTTGCCTGTGTTGAACTTCGTTGTCACTAGCGATAAGTAAATCGTCTAAATAACAAAAGACAAAATCAAGCCCTTGTAAAATGGAATCCATAAAGCGCTGGAAGGTTTGCGCTGCACCCCTTAAACCGACGGTCATTCGGGGAAACTCGAAAAGCCCAATAGTGTTATGATAACGGTTTTCTCCACGTCACCTAGCGCGACAGGTATAAAATGATAACTTCTATTAATATCTAATTTCGAAAATATATTTTTATCCGGGAGAATAAAAGTAAAGTCATTCAAGCGAGGAATTGGGTATCTGTCGGGCTTTGTTATCGCATTCAGCTGGCGATAGACCCCACAAGGTCTTATATCTCCATTTTCCTTAGGAACTACATGGAGTGGACTAGCCCACGCGCTCTTCGAAGGACGACAGATGCCCAGTTCCTGCATGATGCGAAATTCTTCTTTAACTTTTTTATACCTGTCGGGTGGCAACGGGCGCGCTTTCGCGTGCACGGGGGGACCAGAGGTCTCGATATGGTGGACGACATCGTGTTTCGCAGTTTCTCGGAATGACGTCGGTTTAGTAATGTCCGGGTACTTTAACAATAAATCCTGATACGGATGATTCAAATCAATAGTTTTAACACTAGATTGGGATACCTTGACAACAGATGCCGAAACTTTCAATTTTGTGGTTTTATCTATTAATTTACGCGCGTTTAAATCAACTAGTAACCTGTGATACGCTAAAAAATCTGCGCCCAAAATTGGTTGTTTGACATCTGCTACCACGGATTCCCAACGATAAGGTCGACGTAAGTTTAAATTTAACACTAGTGTCTTGGTACCATAAGTTACGATTTCACTACCGTTAGCTGCGTATAATTTATATTCACTGCACTGGTTTGCACGGTCTTTTCTCACAGCTGGTAAAACAGACACATTGGCACCTGTGTCGACTAAAAATCTAAGCCCAGAGTTAATATCTGACACACACAAACGATTAAATGGAATAATGGTACAGACCTCAAGATCCTCGGACTGTACCTCACCGCTCAGTTTTCCGGCAGCTTATGTTTCCACGCGCACGGCTCCGTACACTTGTTGGCTTTTTCCTTGAATCGGTAGGGGTAGAAGCACAAGTAGTTCTCCTTCTTGGGACGGCGGAAACCGCTACGGCGCCGGGACTGCGAACGATGACGGGTGCGATCAGGGGCACGAGACCGCGACCTCCACTGATCGATCTGGTTCACGGTAGCCTTTATTTTAGCCACCTCAGCCCTTAACAGGGCCAAGTCAAGAGCAGCAGAAGATGCCGGCGCTGGCGCAGCGTAGGTAGTGGCGGCGGCATAGGAAGGCCGCACAGCCTCCATGATGTTATCTGCGACCGCTGCTAGGTTGTCTAAGTCCTTGGAGTCAGACACGGTGAGCACGGCTCGCACCTGTGTTGGAAGACGATTCTGCCACAGCACGCGAAGAGTTTCATCAGGAACCTTATCAGTAGCGAGCTCGCGCATCCGACGGAGCAGCTGGGATGGTTTCTGCTCGCCCAGCTCTAGCTCGCTCATAAGCTTCTCGATCTGCCTCGACATTGACTCCTCATAGATGTGGAGCAATCGAGCTTTAAGTGCGTCGTACTTGTGGGTAGGAGGGGGATTTAGTAATATGTCTGTCACTTGCACGATGACCTCCTTACTCAGCTTGGACACGACCAGGTCAAACTTCGCCTCATCGCTCATCCTCTGCGGTGTGAGGATAGCTTCTGTGCGTACGAACCACACGCGCGGCTGATCCGTCCAAAAGTCCGAGAGCCGGGACTGTAGAGACACTGAATCTACACCTGGCGCCATAATGGGCGGTGGCGCGGGCGGCTGAATGTCCTGGACGAGTGGCACGTTAACAAGCGGCACGTTTTGTGGCGGTGGCGGAAGCGGCACACTCATGTTACCATTATGAATTGTCCGTCCGATCACAACACACGCGAAAATTGCCCACTACTGTGTTAATATCACTTCGGTCACGTTGATCACGTCGGTCACGTCGATCACGTCGGTTACGTCGATCACGTCGGGGTCACCGGTTTAGGAGCTGACTCCATATGCGTCTCTACGGGTGACCATAATGAAAGATTGCATAACTTTATGACATATTTATTGTAGAGGAGCGTGTAATACAGTTGACGGGCAACTAGGTACTGTCTGACTGAATGAAAATCTTAGTACTAAGTAGAGAGGTACAATATTATAAAGTATACATATATATGGTAGCTAGGTACAACATTACTAATTATACATGTGTGTGCGCAGCACACCTACAATACGAACGTTAGGGAGAAAACCTACAATGTCGTCGAGGACATTTACCTTGACTAAAATGCGAAGGTGTTCGCTGGCAGGGCTGAAAACCAACTCCGCTTGTCTCCTAGGAGCAGGAGGCTCGGCACCTCCGATACCTACCATCGGACGTGATTCAGAGCTCCAGGGGAGCCCCAGTCTTCCCACCAACCAAGTAGAGGCCCCCCGAGAGAGAATTCCCCGAACGGGCCGACCTGGGGAAACTCGGGGATCCTCGGCTCCGAGGCCCGGGGCCGATACGCAGTCTCCGGAACCCGGTAGTACCGGCACCGACCAAAGGGGGGCGGGCGGCGTTCCAGTCGCGGCCACTCAGCCAACGGGGGTGAGAACGGTCTAGCTGACCGCTGAGTGGCTGCGAATCCACTATCAACCCGCTGAAGGGGGGGAGTGAAACCCCCCCCCGCCCCTGGGGGAACGACTCCTCGACCGATCGTGGGAGGGACTCCCCTCAGAACGAGGGGCGCTGTGGTCAACCGGTGAGCGCCAAGCGTCGCCCGACAGTGGGCGTGGTTGGGCGCCCCCGCCCGTGGGAGTCGGGGGACTGGCAGGGCCCGTAGAGGACGAACCGCGCGCACCCAGGCACAACACGACGTGGTGGTTGCCCTGGCAGTGCGTGCAGGGCCGCTGGTGCTGGCAGTCTCGTTGTAAATGCCTCTCCAGGCACGAGAAGCACCAGCGGCGCTCCCTGGCGATGGTTCGCCTCGCCGTAGCAGGCTTGCGCAACAACTTCGGGCACGACGCCGCCCGGTGGTCGAATGCTCGTTAATAGGAGCAGGGAGGCGCCTCCCGGGCCGCTAGGCCACTATAGGAGGGTAGGGGGGGCACCCTCCCGCGGGGGGGGCTTCAGGGGGGTGGGCGCCACCTTGGCCGTCTGATTCCGCCTCTCCCTGGGCACCGCTCGGGGGGCAGCCGGGGGGCCCTCGACGGCGCCTGCTGCGTTCTCCAACTGCCTACACTACTCCTCCAGGAACCGCAGCAGGTCCCTAAAGGGGGGAATAAACGAGGCGCCATCCCCTCCGTACCTCTCCTCAAAATGGAGCCGAAGGTCAAGGGGCAGGCGGGACAGCACTATATGAAGTAGCAAAAAGACCACTCGTCCACAGGTAAATCCAGCCGCCGCAATGAGTTGCACGCTACGACGTCTGGTTTCACTATGTCTTCACGTAGTCTAGTCCGGTCCTTCAGAAGCGGGAGGTTCAGCAGCCTCCGAACATGATCGTCTGCAATCCGCCGGACGTTGGCGTAC